GGCGTTCTTGCCGGCTGCGTGCTCTCAAAAACAAGAATCCGGATGAAATTGTTGCTTTTGGGCGCGAGTGGAATAATACTGCGATTGGTTGGAATGACTGTCGATGGTGCAGTTCATCCCTTTCCTTTTTTGCATTTTTTTGTAATTGCTGGTTTGGTGGTGTGGATGTTTGAGTGTCGGTTGGTGGGCTGGAGTGGTGGGTGGGTGATTTGGGTGGGTGGCTGGGATTTGGGTGGGTGGTATGAATGGATGGGTTGGTGCGGGTGCGGGTGCGGGTGCGGGTGCGGGTGTGGGTGTGGGTGTGGATGTGGGTGTGGGTGTGTGTGTGGGTGTGGGTGTGTGTGTGTGTGGGTGTGTGTGTGTGTGTGTGTGTGTGTGTGCGTGTGCGTGTGCACATACAGAAGTAAGAATGCAAACACGTAAGTTGTTCAGCTTTTTATTTTATATGATACGCAAGCTCACTTACTCGTTTACTCCCTACCCCAATTGCTTGCTTCCTTCCCTACTTGCCTGGTTCCTTTGTCATGTGCTTGCGTGCTTAGTCCCCGTACTTTGCGTGACTTCATCTGTGCCTGTGAAACTGCATCAAGCCAACAAATCTGATGCAAGACAGCCCCGCATAACGGCCCTCGGCGGGTTCCAGCGTTATAGGATTCAGGATCAGGGCTAAGGTGGTTCAGAGTCTCGGGTGTAGGACTTAGTGAGCTAGGGGTTCGGATTTCTTTCCGGCATGCCAGGTCCGCGGCGCTTGGAGATACAGGGGGCAACGGAATCTCGACCTGTTCAACGGTATCCTTCTCAAGAAATCTTTCTGCGTGAGGTGTCGCAATCTCTTGCGAAACAACACAACTGGTCAGTTGGGGGAGGGGGTTGAAGAACGACCTAGCATTAGGGATTGACTTGAAGCTCCTCCATGCCTCATGGCCTGTGAACCGACCTCTGCAGCCGGGAAAAATTCTGGGTAATGAGCGTACGAATCCTCAAAGTGATACCCAACAAACCCGATGATCACTCAATGGTAAAGCATGACAACACCACTGAGGACTGAAGAGAAGCATCGTGTTCTCTGCGAAGGGGCCTACAACAGCCTTGTCAGATCCGTCATCAGAACCCCGGACACCCGAATGGCGCTCAACCCTTACACCTACAACACAAAACCAGAATCCTGTCAGACACTTAACGCCCCAAAACATTAAGACCTGGAAGCCTCCGCCGCCCATTCAGCCCTTGGAAACCACACAAACAACCCTGAATAATTAGCCTTGAAGCCCGACTTTTAAGGTTTATGGCTGTGGCCTTCGGGTACTCTTTCCTCGGCGTGGTCTTACCTCGGGCCTCCTGACAGTTGGGGATTCGAGGCTCCAGAATTTTGCGTTGGGGTTCTGGGTTGGGGGGTTTTGGACCGAAGGGGCTCAAGGGGCAAAAGCGGCGTACGGCCAACAGGGTTTTGCGTCTTCTAGGCGTTGGGGCATTGGATCCAGGTTTCAGGGCCAAAGGACGAATATAGGGTTTAGGACTCAGGCTGCAGTTTGGGCTTTGAGGGTGAGGCGACAGGGGTTTGGACTTTGGCTTTCTTGATTGGAGTGTTGGGCATTAGCCTTGAAGACTCTGATATAGCAAGTCCTCAAATCGCTCTCAATGGATGCGCTTGGAGCTTTGTCAAGAACTCAAAGGGACTCAGATCCAAAAGCTTATGGACATCGCATCATTCCAGAATGGACAGATGGGGAGAGATCGGTCATAACGACCGATGGCACTGGCACCAACACAGGAAGACGTGAAGAGCCCCATGTGCAAACCGACTCAGGCGTCAAAAGTCAAAGGGTAAGCTTGAGCTTGAATCATTGTTGCTTAACCGAGGAATACAGACTGATCTTCAGTCTGATCATCCCCAGAAGTCTACAGAAAGGGGAAACACGACCAGAATATGACAACAGGGTTTCGGAAATCGATGGACTCTGAACACTGAACATCACAAATCCCACAACCTTCACCCTTTCAGTTTTGGGTTTTTATTTTGGGCTTTTGCATCAGCGCTTGTACCTAAACCTTTAGCAACTCCTTCAACCTCAAAGCCCTTGCTCCGCACCACCCCCCACCCCGGGAAACATCGGACTGTCGCACTACAAGTAGAGGCAACACTCCAAATCCGAAACACCCCCGCCCCACCCCCCCCCTCAAACCAAGCCAAAAGCCCCAAACCCTCGAGGGCCAAGAGGTCTCGGCTGAAGGTGCGATTCATCCCACGCTTGCATCCGTCTCAAGCCCTCAGTCATAAACCGCCATCGAGCTGCCGGCACCCTCGGATCACAAGGACCCTAAGCCATAAATCCCTGAAACCAGAATCCCCAAGCCCCAAACCAGCCTGCCCGCTGCTAGAGCCAGCCTCGGTGTCCCACTCCTGCGCAGGGCTGTTGAGGAGTTGGGGCTTGAAGTTGCGGGGTAGAGGGGGTAGAGGGGTTTAGACTTACGTTTTCGAGATTTGAAATTTCATGGGTTTATGAGTTTGGGGATTTACCGGCAGAGGGGTTTAGGCTTCGTGGTTTAGGGGAAAATCGGGCGGAGAACATGGGCTTGGCTTGGAGGGGGCCCGGCCCTGTGACTGACTTAGTTGGTTCAGCATGTCGGCTCTTTTGGGTTTAGGGGTGTCGAAAGCCCAGGATCCCAGTTGCGGGTTTCAGCCCTTTGCCATGTTCTCAACTGAATGTGCTGGTACGGCACGGATTCAGGGCTTTAGGCCGATATGACACACCCGGACTCAAGACTCGAGAAGACCGAACCAGCAACACTTGACAAATAACTTGCAACATCCGGCGGAAGACCGGTAACATGCTCTGAACAGGCGTTCATGACATGGACATTTTGACAAGATCTAGGAGCATCCAAGATGAAGCTCGAAAATCGCCCCCAATGTGCGCGGTCGACTATAACTCATCACGAGGACCTCACTCCAAAGAAGTTGCACACGCAGAAACGCACCGAAAGCAAACCCTACTGCTCAGCAGATCTGGCTTTGGAGGGTTGGGGTTGGGAGTTCAGGTCCAAAGTAGGGCTTTCGCACCGAGACGCTTAAAACCCTACTTGACTTCGAGGAAGCATCGGGTCGGCCTCTTCGCCTTCGTAGTCTGGGGAGGAGCCTTGGAGGGCTTGGGGTGTCTAACGGCTGAAGTTGAGGGTTTAGAGCACAGCGTCCGCTCGTGATGGTACCAGATGAGTAAGGCGGTGACAGTACATGACAAAGAATAACAAGTTTTTTGGTCAGGCAGCTGGACCTGAAGACCCAGCACCTCGATCCATACATGTGAGGAACCATCGACGAACGTCTGAGATCCTCCATGTTTTCCCGCGGTGCGCAAACCCCCAATGAAGGACTCTACATAGGGGTGTGCAATACCAACTGTGCTCCCTGTCGCCAGGAATCCCTCAGGTCCACCAGGGGTCGAAGTAAGGCATGAAGGAATTCCATGGGCTTCCCTCAGCAATGCCGAGCAACGAAAGAACAAGAATGTACAACCCCACAACCGCTGAACGCTCAACCGGAAACCCTGCCCCCAAACAAAAACGACTCTGCAAGCTTCCACGGTGTGAACATTTCCGAGGCCAGCCACCAGTTTCGACGTCTGTGTCGTCGTCACTCAGCCTTGCACCGTCAGATTGTCGCGCGGCAGAAGAAAGTTGCTCCAGATGCGGGCCTTGGGTTTGGGGCTTGGGCTTGACGGAGTGACATTTTTCGCTTCGCATTCATCAAGAGGAGTGGAGCGCCACAGCTCGTAATCGACGGCTGTCAGACAAGCTTTGCCGGGGGGCAAAACACAGAACAGCGTCTGAATGAAGCTTCTGTACAGACACTTGCGAACTGACAAAGGGAGCCCACTCCGTGAACTACCACGAAAGCAGGCCGCACCTCTCTCCCTCTTAAGCTGCGTAAATCGCCTTTGCCTTGGCATAAAGCGCCTTTCCCTGGGCGCTCTTTCCACCAACCGCGCACCATCCCTTCAGGCCAAGTTCCTTCCTCGCCGTCATGACCGCATCCATCCATTTCTTTGCGAACTGCTGGAACACAAGGCCCTTCGCGTGCTGTTTCTTGGTGACAATGCGGCCGTACTTATTCTTCATCAAGTCCGTCTTGTGGAGGCCGGTGGAAGTCTTCTCCTTTAAGCCCCCAACAACGAAAAGATCTTTGACAATGACGTCGATGAAGACAGCGAGGACGACGAACATGACCATTACGACGAGAATAATTGCTGTGCTGTTGTTGCTGATGATGCTGCTGCTGCTGCTGCTCGCACTGCTGCTGCTGCCGTGCCGATGCCGATACCGATGCGAATGCTGATGATGAAGATGCTGATGCTGAAGATGCTTATGCTGATGGCGTTGCTGATGATGATCATGGCGATGATGACGGTGGTGGTGATGATGATGCTAAAGATGGTGATGGTGGTGAAAAAGAAGAAGATGATGATGATGATGATGGTGATGATGATGATTGTGATGGTGATGGTCGTGATGATGGTGATGATGGTTGTGATGGTGATGATGATAGTGATGGTGATGGCGAAGGTGATGGTGACGGTGATCGTGATGGTGATGGTGATGATGATCCTGATGATGACCATGATGATGCTGATGAGGGTGATGGTGATGGTGATGGTGATGATGATCCTGATGATGATCATGACGGTGATGATGATGACGACGATGGCGACGATGGGGATGGTGATGAGGAGGATGGTGACGATGATGCCGATGACGATGATGATGATAATGATGATGGCGATGATGGTGATGATGATGGTGATAGTGATGGTGATAGTGACCGTGATGGCGATGGTGATGGTGACGGTGATCGTGATGGTGATGATGGTGATGATGGTGATGATGGTGATGATGGTGATGATGGTGATGATGGTGATGATGGTGATGATGATGATGATGATGATGATGATGATGATGATGCGGATGGGGATGAGGATGATGAGGATGATGACGATGATGAGGATGATGATGAGGATGATGATGATGATGGTGATGGTGATGGTGATGATGATGATCTTCTTCTTCCTCCACCGCAAAGTGAGTCCGCGCGGTGTCTGCTGGAGCAACGGCTTCGCCGCCGGCGTCGAAACACGCTCTGATGGCCTCCTCAACCTAGACTCAAAAGACTCCGCCCTCTTTTATCCGGGCACTAGCCTTCCTCCACCCCGCAGGGCCATATGAGCAAGGAGGGCCAGGTGCTCTTTTAGATGGATAAAGGTAAACATAGGGGAAGTATGGATAGATGAACAATGAGGATACAATCTCAGATTTACAGTTCACATGAGGGCAAAGACGGAGCGAAATGTGCTTTTACATCAAATTCGACAGCAACAGCTCTCTGCTCTACACTCCTATGGCGTCGTCAATCTGGTGAGAAAGAAGACATACGAGTTCTGCTGAACTGTGCTGAGATCCTGTGTGCTTGGATCGGCGGACGCGCTGTTGTCATCCGTAAGGTGCATTGTCTGCGAGCTACTCAGGAGAGCTGCCCTGTAACGGCCGCTCGTGGTCGCTTCGCCAAGGTGGAAAACTACTGCCCGGGCAGTGTACTCACTCCATTCAACTTTGCAATCATGACTGCAAAAGTGGGGAAATGTTATGCGGTATGGCGGATGTATGGGCACGCGAAGCTTGCGACCACGATCGTCAAACCGGGCTACTTGCAACAGGAGGGCTGTAGGCAGGCCGTCAACAGAAGCGAGGGTTCGTTTCTGTCCACGCACGACTTGTTTGCGCCATTGCTGCACTAGCCTTTGCAATGTGACCGGCTCTGCTGCCTCGGCCTGCGAAAGCGATGCCGTAAGAAGCAGCGGCAACATCCGCCCAGCTTCAACAACCTGAGAGGGATAGTGAGGGGCTGTCGGGTTGTGCCTAGCTTCCCATGATCCTACAAATTCATTTCTGATAAGCTTAGGACCAATGAAATGGAGAAATTCCGCCGCATCCTGCTGGCCCTGGGCAGGCCATCGTTGCAGACACGAAATCCATGCTGGAATTCTCCACAAGTGCACAAGAGGGCCTTGGCTTTCCAACACCTTTTTGCAGTGTAAGCCCCGGCTGTAGGCCTGTCTGGCTCCACGTCCAAAGGTAAGCAAGTGTGATAGAGTTTCCGTAACAATAATTGGAACTGTTACCAAGCATGACTTGCAAGACCCGCCTTTCTGACATTGATCTTACAGCTTCTTGGCCGCCTCCTCGATCGCTTTCTCCAAGGGCCCGCGACCCAATTTGCTCGGCCGAACCGTGCCCCCGATCAGGTGCCAGATGGCATGGTAAGACATTCGTTCGAATGCCATGCACACCTCCTGACTCTCGCGGCAGCGATTGTGAATCTCGAGGGTGAAGGGGACGACCTCCGCCGACATGTTCGACGTCAATCGTCGGAGTGCATGGAACCTCAAAATGACCCGGGGGAAGATGAGGAAGTTCTTGATGAGCACAAGGTACTCCCTGGCCTGCTGGATCGTGAGGTGCTCCTGGCTTTTTGAGCTCCGCATTCCAACGGAGGTAGAGGAAGCGGTCCCCCTCCATTAGGCCCAGCTGCTCCAAGCGGGCCTGGTCGTCCGGGCTGGCTTCCAGGGCGAGCACCCTCTCCAACAGTACAGTTCACCAGGGTTGTCTGCACAGTGGCGTTGATGCTGTTCGGGTCCTCCTGCTTCAAGGAGTGCCATTTCTCCGCCGCCTGGAATAAGCTGGAAACCGCCGCCCATTGCTTGGCCTTGGTGGCGTCCTCTCCCGGGAGATGCGGCTGCATCGACGTCTTGAGGAAGACCATGAACGCCAAGTCCATCTGGAGGTAGGACAGGGCATCCGCCTGCCTCAAAACGAGGCGAACTAGTTCGCGAACCAGTTCCCGGAGCTCCTTCTCCTTCTTGGTCTCCGACTCCGTCTCCTTTCTCCACCATTGGCTGTCGTATCCGCAGTGAGAAGAAGGCTGCCAGTGATGTCCCTGCGTTGGCTTGGAAAGCGAACCGGTGCTCTGTCGCCACCGCTGCTGGGGGGTCGTCTCCTTCCGCCGCGTCCTCCTGGCTCTGGCCCGGCTCTGCCTCGCGAGCTCCTATGTCCAGCGCCGTTGCCCTTGACTTTTCCTGCCGCTTTCTGCCTTTTTGCGTTCGGGCCCTGTTTCGGGCTGCGATCCCTCTGGGGAGGCCCTCTTGTCCGTCTCCTTGGTGTCCATCAGCTCCGGCTCGGAAACGGAGGGTGGTGCTGTGGAGGGCGCAGACGTCGTGGGGGGAGGAGGAGGCATGGTAAACAGGTTGGCCGAGGGCTTCACATATCCCTCGAACTGTTTCAGCTCCTGGGCTGCCCGAATCAGCTCCGCATCGTCGTGGTTGAGGTCGGACATGTTCACGAAGATCTTTTTGACCTGATGGGGTGAGGGAGCCGAACTTATGCAGAAGGTGCCCGCATGTCCACAGCACTGGGCATGCACGCTGATGGGCCTGAGGAGCTTGCGTGTAAGGCTGGGAGCACCAGGGTCCTACGCCTTCCTTGCTGAAAGCCCACTTCTTGACGGCGGCATCCGCTTTTGCAATTTCAGGGTGTTGCCTGCATGCATGACGGGACACGTACATGCATGTCGAGCATCTGTACCTGCTACATGCGTGTCGAGCATCTGTACCTGCAGACCAGACAGTGTCCCAGATTTATCTCATCCCGCACAAGCAGTCTTAAGGCATGTGTGTCACCCTTGGCTGCAGCCTCTTGAACCAGTTTTTGGTCAACAAGCGGCGCGGGGACATCTTGGGAGGAGTTGGGAGCGACTGTGGAGTCAGCCTGGACGTCAGTCCCACCTCCCGGCGCGGACACCGGCGTCTGCGCTGTGTTGTTTGACGACGAATGTAATATGTACAAAGTGTCCACAAAAGGCTCTCCAGCTGGAAAATTGCTTATTGCAAAAACGGCATTCAGGTCGGCCGTCTCGTGCATACTGCGTGAACTCGCTGGATCTGTAAGATCTGGAGGCGTAGCCCTGCTTTGTTTTAGCTTGGCTTTGCTCAGCATGGGATTTGCCTATGCGAGTTCGTAGCGCATGCAGGCTGCTGTACGTGATCCCACAGTAGGGGCACGCGGAGGCTTGCCTGAGCATTTGGGTTACCTCCGTCGGCTTTCCTTTCTGGGTGTGGGCTTCGGTCCCTTCCAGACTGGCCCAGTCTTGGCTGGTGATAGCTGTCCAGCGTTGCTGCACGGCCTTTGGTTGTAGGCCCGAAAGGTGATTCCGCGCAAGACAAATTCGCCCTTGGGTGAGGGAGTACAAGGTTCTGATGGGATCTTCGACTCCTATGCGTGTCATGAAGTGTTGATTAGTTTCATGGCCAACATGTGCTGGACTGCGGGCTACAATTCGGAGCTGTTGGATGACCTGGGTCCGAATTTGTCCTGCACTGTGAGAGTCAAGCAAGATTGCACCCAGAGCCTAATGCGTGATGGTTTTGGCAGGGCTTTACTGATCAGAGCGCGGTGAATTCTCTGGAAAGCATGCCAGGACTGCTTAACCCGATACGCAACAGCGCTGCGTTCCCAGTTGGCGTACCCTATTTTAACACCTAGGTGTATATATATATATATATATGCTCTTGTTTGAGACGGACTTGCAGCACCTCTGCTTTAGTAGGAACACGGACGGTGCGGCCACGCTTGCCCACCTGAGTAACCTGCTTCGTAGCTTGAGCAGCTTGGGTGCCCCCTATGGCCATGAGAATCACTGTCTTTTCAACCGCAATAGGCATGCCTGAGTCTGTGAGCTCGTCCAGAATCCTGCCTGTCTGGATACATGCATTCCGAAGTTGGAGACTAGATAGGATGTCCCATGAGATGCGATAGTCATCCGCATACAGTGTGAGCTGTTGTCTGCTAACATGATTTTGCAGTGACTCAAAGGTGAGCTGGGTGTACGCCGCCCAAAGTAAGGGGGCCAAGCCGCATCCTTGGCGTATGCCTGTGGATGATCGAAGCTCCGTAACATACTCATCTTTGCTGAATACCAGGATCAGACTTATGAGACCTTCTGGCACGGATATTCGCCTGAGGGATGTCTCCAACTTGGCACGCGGTAGCCTGTCAAAGGCTTGTCGCATATCTATGGACATTTGCATGCCCCCTTGCACTTGAGGCCGCGCCCTCTCCCGGGCTGCAAAGGGATGTGGCCGGGCGTCCGCAACTCGTTGTTTGACTCTGGCACAGTGGCTATGAACCCTATCCAAAGCATCCAAGGTTTGTCTACCATTAGCATAAGCGAATTGCGGGTAGTCCACCAAGGCTTGCTCGAGCAGAGGTCTGACCCTTTGGGCTGCAAGGCGGGCAAGAATCTTAGCAACGGCGGGTAGTATACTGATAGGACGCAGGTTACCCGGAGATGTGGGGGTTTTTGAGGTTTAGGCAACAGAACCACAAAAGCCCGGCGCCACTCCGGTGGGAGGTAGAGTTTGCCTGTCGTGAACCTGGCTTGAAAGTCCTTGTGTAACAGTTCAACAATCTCCTCATGGCACACTCTCCAGAGGACTGCCGGGGCCTGACCCTGGGGAAGAGCTTTGCGCATTGGCAGAGACCCTGCCGCCTGAGAGATTTCTTCTCTGGTAAAATCCAAGGGCTGCAGAAGGGCATATTGACTGCGCGCCGGCTGAGCTGGTGTTTTGTACAGCGCCGTTAAATGATCTTGGGCAAGCGAGTGGAGGCATTATACTATTGTGCTCCAGGGGCATACAGTGGTTTGCCACGATACCAGGTTTTGCCATGCAATTGCGCTCGCTTCAGCGCACGTACATAGGATCGCTTGGCTATCCTACTTAGGTGAGCTTGGGGCCATATGGGAATGGTGTGTTGGCCTAGTTCAACCTGTGCTGCCGCGGCCTGGCTGCCCTGTAATTGAAGAAACCAGATCAGCACACTGCTGGTCCATGTCCGTTTGGCAGAGGAAGGACCACCACCGCGGTCGTGTGTCCGCACAGTCTTGCAAGAAAACTTAAGGGTACTTTCACAAGGAGAATTATTAAGGTCTAGGTTGAATGCCGTTCCTACGGAAGTGGCATCTTTAGCTGATTGGTCGTCATGGTTTGCGTCGTTGTTGGACAGCATGAAATTGTGGGGGGCTTCAGGGAGTCTACGACCAGAGGATCTCCCGACCCTCACGTCTGCAAGGATGCTCGTGGCTTGTTCAGTGTACACGGGTTCCTTGCCTCCGGACTTGGGACCGGAGCGGCCCTGAAAAAGATCTTCGGATGAGCTGGCTGCTCTCGGTGTATGCGGCTTCGGAAGCTGTACAGTGATCTTTTCGATAAATATGTACAGTCTTGCAGTAGCTGCTCGGTACAGACGGTAGGAGCGAGAAGAGGAACGAAGTTGTGGTCGAGGGCGAGAAGGTACTCGTCCTCGTCGGTTCTTACGCACATTTTTTCGCAGTGCTCTGCAGTATTTAAATCTCCATCGTCTCCAATGCTGACGCTGTCGAGAGGGAAGGCTGCGCTGCTGTCTCCGGTCAGGCTTGTGACCCCGGTCCATCCAGAGGTCTCCTTGCGCCGGATGAGCTTGCCGGTTCCTCCTCGTGAGTGTTCTGTTGCCGTCGTCAGGATCCAAATCTGTTGCACCCGGCTGCTCCGTTGACCGTCTGGGGAACTGCTGCGCCTGGATGTGCTGCTGGTACCATCGCTGTAGCTTGCCCTGGGAGGGTTTGGACAGTAGTGGCCACAATGCACAGATGGTGCCATGGTGGAGAAGGGGTAGCACCAGGTCCGTCGCAACCTGCGCAAAGTGCCGAGATCTGGCTCGGTCCCTGTCAGCAAAGTGGTCCTCAAACTCCCTAGCCAAAAGCAAGCAGAAGGCCTGTAGCAGCTGTCTTCGGTCCGGCGCATCCTGGGTACCATAGATCCACGCAACATCGTTGCGTGGTATCGGTCCTCGCAGCGCTGTCTCCAGGTAGACAAAGTCCTGTTGAAGGCGGTCGGCATCAGGTTGTGGTAGGCGCGGCAAAACCAGGTCTTGCACATGTTGAGCTTCCAGGTTGTGCTGCTGGCGCTTGGCTGCAGGAGTGCGGGCAGATGCGACGCGCCTGTCCGGGTGGCACAGGCAGATGTGTGCTGATAGGTAGTGCCAGCACAGCTCCTGCACAAGCCTGTTCCGAAACTCCAGCACGGACTCACTCGGCTCGTAATAATATGCCTCGGAGTCCTGTGATGATCGAAAACTAGAGGTAGTTCCAGAATCATCCGAGCTGGGGCTTTGGCTTCCATCGCTGCTATGCAGCATGTTAAAGTCAAAGTTATCATGTGCAGCCACCGAGCGAGGCATGGCATTCTACCGAGTGTGTTGCCAGCTCTTTGTTTCCTCGGGCCGAGACGCCTGATGACGATGATGATGATGATGCCTATGATGAGGAGGGAGAGGACGAATACGCGGATGAGGAGAGGAGGAGCTTGTCATGCTTAACTAGCAACTCACAGTGGCTGCTCTGAAAACCAACCTGGTCTTGCCATGCCTAACCCCCACTAGAGCCGAACACAAGAAAAATCATATTATCCCCTTGTTTCCGTCTCCGTGGAGTGATGACAAACAGCTCTGTCAGAGTACCAAACAGATCAACCCCTCGGCCGATGCTTCCTTCCTGCCGTTGAAGACCACCGACTTTGCGAGTTTGCCCCGCGCGATCTTGCTGATGGCTTTCTTCTTCATTGCCTTGCGGCTTACGGACCCCTCTGTGTCCCAAAAACGACACGTAATATCGGAGATCACGACATCTTCGCGAGACATCCGGCCGTAATATCCAATTGATCGGTGACCTTAAGATTCATGGTTTGGGACTTCGAATATCTCAAACCTTTGAGTGTTCTGACACCGTCCATCGGCTCGGCCTTCATCGGCTTGGCCTTCATGGCCTTGGCCTTCATGGCCTTGGCCTTCATGGCGCCCTTCGTCGCCTTTAGGGCTGTGGACGGACTTGGGATTCTTTTATTTGTTTGGTAGCGGGTTCACCGGTCGTGTGGCAGCGTCAGTGTGCAGCTTCGGTTTTTTTCCATGTTCCGCTCTCCTTCACTTCCTGGCCTTCTTCATGGTCTTCATCGGGAGAGCCATGGCTTTGAAGCAGGGGAGGTTACGATGGGCGTCTGAGCACGTGATGGGCTGCAACGTAAGACCTCATGACAGGGGCGATAGGGTAACCTGATGAGCACACGCAGCACACCAAGACTGGCAGAGGCAAAGGCCGGATGTTTCTTTTCAATACACCCAATACGGCCAGGGTTTACGGCCAGAGTCGGCTCCCGCAGGGAGCAGCCAAGTTCGACAACTCCGGGCTCTGCGCGTTGTGAGCTGAGGGTTCATGGAATGATACGGGGGCACGGTCGGGCTTTGGGGGTATGCTATGGAATCTGTTACGGAACCCCAAGAAAAATGTATCGGTTAAGCCCCTGCATTAGGGTTTCCGGCTTCTGTACTGTCAACCGGTTGATGTCGTGAGGTGTGCTTTCCCACTTGCACACAAATTTTCATGACCAAGGCACAGAGACCTCTTCGGCTCGAAGCTCAACTTAACTTAAGCTGCCGTCACTATCGTTATGAGGTCTTTCCGGTATTTCCAATCAAGGGATGGCCCTAATCAACTCATGGCCTTTGCTAAAGCCAAACCGCGAGCCCTTCGTGGCACCTTACGGTTTTTAAACCGAACGCTAAGCCTACACCCCCACAAAGATGCCCCCAGGCCCTTCATTGGATCAGAGGCCCCCGGCCCACTCGGGTGATGGGGCAGCTCGTAGGGCTCCTTGCAGGCGATCGGGCTCAGGGTTTAGGATTGTTCCCAGGGGCTCAGGGTTGCGGCGAGGTTGGGCCTGGTCATGAACCTCGCTACAATAGTTCAGTAATTTTGTACGCACGAACCCCATGAAACACGGGAAACAACACTGCTTCTGAGAGCCGACCCGACCCAATCCCTCGCCCGCGATTTCACACCGAGAAGTCGAGAAGTTACTATGATGTTTCCCAAGGGCAGCAGAACTTCTAGGAAGTCCGGAATTTGCCATACCTTTCGCAGAGTCAAGAGAAACAACATGCAGCAGCAACAACAGCGGCGGCAACCTCATAAACGCCCTGACCCTCGCTGTCAGAGTCGTCATCATCATCATCATCATCATCATCATCATCATCAGCCGTATTTCCTTGCTTAAGTCTGACTTCGTGGTCCTGGTCTTGCCATGATGCGGCTAAACCGAGGCTTATCGTTTTGGGGTCGGGATTGAGGGCATTTAGGGTTCAGAGTTCCCTCTAACCCTTACCCAGCTTCCCAAAACGATAACACTAAACATTCAACAAGAAACATGTGAAGAGTGAAGCAAAAACTACCTATCACCGCCCCCCAAGGCGCAGGCGTAGAGATACGGAAGGTCGGATTCACTCTTTGTCCCATGGACCTGCGACGTCCACGTGACAAGTGTAGGGTAACCCGGGAAGGTCGTAAACCTGTAACAAGCATCATAAACGCACTATCACTATAAAGAACTATATAGGGGTACCAAAAAAAGGTATTGCTAAGCGCATTTGATCTTCTGTTGCAGGGCATGCCCGCTGAGCGATTCTCAGATCATTAGGGTCCCAAGCTTCGGGGGATATCGGGGGGGAGAGCTGCGAACTGTTGAGAACCCCCACAAGTCCCAGAACAGAACTGGGAAGAGTGCTCCCTCAGATTCCGATAAAACTAGCATAAAACCATGTCTCTGCCAAGGGGCGCGACGAGCCCGCAGCTTCGGCGAGCTCTCGACCAGCCTTTGCTGGGCGAGGAGAAATCCATGACATCTACAGCAAAAGCCACCTTAGACTGCCTCAGAAAATAACGAACAGTTTGCGAAAAAAAGGCCATGTGCCAGGAAGGAAAGCGGAGGTGAGTGGCACTGCCCGTGATCCTATTCATGCTGCCGGCACTGACATTTCAATAGAGAACACCCGGACCCATGATCATAGCGACAGTAAACCAAATGTCTGGCCAACATCATACCAGTTCAATCTTAGGCGGAGTGTCTGTGTGGTTCTGGTGGTGGTGGTGGTGGTGGTGGTGGTGGTGGTGGTGGCGGTGGTGGGGGTAGCCATGGAACGATGCTGACCATGAGTGATGATGTGGGCATCGAAGGTCTGACAGACATTGGCACTAGCTAGCGGCGAAAGCAACAGTTGCTGTTTTGGTCGAAGGGACTCACTAGTCTGGCAACTCTGGCTGGGGCGTGGGAGAGTGCTTTCGGAATTTACGGGCAGGCTCAGGAAGGCGGGGTTGACCCGTTTCTAAGCAGCCCACGAAACCGTTAAAAGCAAAAACTGAACTCAAAGAAGCCTACATGTGAACCTGGGCCTCTGACCCTATACTGGCAACAAAAACAGCTTAGGGGTCAAGGTATCCCAAAACCTTGCGCGCACACCCTGAAATCAAGCGTCGCTTTGTTTCTGTGCGTGTGCTGGTCGACAACCAGATCAACAATGCCGAAAAAAGTCTGAGCCCTCTGCACCAGGCAAAGCCTGCAGTTCTAAACCAGTGTAACTGCAGATGCCAGGAACTGTGGAACCCCAACTCTGGTTTGGTAGTGAGGATTTATGATGTATGGTTTAAGGTTCAACCCACCGTGCACTTCTGAGGCAAAGGCTCTAGAAAGGAGTTCTTCACCACCAGGCGGGCCGTACACGTCCTTGGGCGAATGAAATTCAACCGAAGTTCTTCCGATCTACAGGACTTCGGACATAGGAGCTTCGGGATAGAACAACCAGAATCAAGAAATCAGGACGAGTTGATACTTCGGATGCTGCAGAAAACGGTGCGTCGATCACTCCATGGAAAAAATGTGCTTGGATCCAAGGAATCCAACGACTCCAAGGAACCTTCCCTTTTGTCAAAAAGTGCATGCCGCAGTACGTCGCGCCCATGCCCAGTCCTAATCTTACTCTCTGAATCTGCTCTGCTGGCCTACCGGCGATACGCGGCTACAGCCTAGCCCATCCACACTGCCCTGCCCCAGGACACGCAAACCAACCAAGTCTCAGTGGAGCCAACAGATGCTAAGGCCAGCAAATGGAACTTCGTTAAACTTAGCAGGGGGCACAATGCAAACCGGAGAAGACTTGGCACCCGCGCTGCAGCGTGTCCGGCCCGAGTGGGTTTGCCTTGATCAGGGACTCCTGAGCCTGCGAAGAGGAGTTCCGAGGCTGGGTGCCTTGGGGTTTGTGCTTGCGGCTTCATTTAGTATTCAGTGATTGTCGGCTTTAGGACTCAGGGTTTGATGTGGTGTCGGTGTCAAGGGGCCCAAACCCAAAAGCGCTGCATCGAGGACCCGCAGAAAGCCAAGTATCCCGCAAGAAAAAAGTCGAGGCTCCCAAGTCCTTCCTGGGCCCAAGGCCCTTAGTGTTGGGCTAGGCCTCTAGGTCTCTGGGCTGCGAAGTTCCTCCGGCGCAACGCACAAACCGTCCTCGGGCTAAAGCCACACGTGGTTACAGAGCCCCGAATCCCACCCCGTAGCTTGCCTAAACAACTCTGCCACAACCCCGGCGACTGTCATGCCAGGTGTGAAACCCAGCCTGCTCGCTCTCATACACAAACAGACAAGCACACCACATGCACACACAAACACACACACACGCGCGCACGCGCACACACACACACACACGAACAAACATTTAGGACATGTTCGATAGTAGCAAACGAAGCTGCAGGTTTTCTTGTATGCATGTGTGCATGCATGTATGTATATGCGTGTTATGCATGTATGTGTGTGTGTATACACATATATATATATATATATACACACATACATTCACATATGCATCTGTGTACATGTACATGCATATTCGTAAATGCGGTAACTTAGCGACCACCCCATATACAAATAATGCCACGAGTGCCTGCATCCGAGGCGAGAGCTATCGGTCGGCGTCCGGTACGCGTCCAAAAACCGCGAACTCGAGCCAAAGAAAGGCAGACGATCCGTGGGGTGGAGGGTGGAGGTATAGAATGTTGCCGTTGCCAGGCGTCGCACGTCTTGATGTGACGAGCTGCCTGTGACTGAAGGGGTATTGACAAGTGCCTTCATGAGGAAATGCAATGACGATCACGTTGCTTGGGATTTTTCGCACAACTATGCGACGCATGGTATGACTGCCTCTATGGCATAGGATGACAAGAACAGGTGGAAGGTCCTGGATCCTAGGGAGTCCAGCAAAATTTGGGTGCTGGTAGGGCTTCGAACTCAGGATATCTGACTTCCTGGCGGTTGATGATGCGGGAGATTCTGACTCAGGTCTTCGGATCCAACGATTTGGGTGATTTGGGTTACACCTCAGTTTAAACAGCCCGTCTAGTAATCGAGGGAAGTGGAATCATGGCTTTTTGGCTTTCACTCAGCCTGAGCACGCAGTTATTGCTTTTGTCCGCCATCAATGCTCCTATGCCTGCTGGCTATACCATTACAAGTTCAGCTTTTCTTCTGCTCTTGTTTGGAGCTTTCCGGCTTCTGGACTCAAGGCTTCAGGACTTGAGGCTGCTCCTGCAGGCACAGTAATCACCCGATAAAAGGCCAACAGTTCGGGATTCTCTCAGGCCCCGTAAGCACCCAACCAACCCCCCCCCAAGTCTCAAGCCTAACTCAGCCTCAAGGCATCATGCCCAAAATGCTCAGGATCCTCGAAAATGCCCGACCGGACCTTTTCCATGCAATTGCAAGCGAAACTGAGGCCCTCAATGCTACAATCCTCGACGAAGTCGGCTTTAGCCATTGGGGTTGAAGGGCTCTCCGCGCTGGCGCCAGGGTTTGGGTTTTGGACCTTGGCCTTGACACTTTATGCTTTCGGCTCGTAGGCCTAGGACTGCCGGAGCCCTAATAGAATCGCCAACTAGTATTGGTATTGGGAGTACCACTACTTGCGTTCATTGCTTGTGCAAGTGCTGTGCTGCTGGACGTATGTTAAAGACATCGTTCCTTCAGTCTGTTAATATGGGATATTGATATGGTAGTGATAACTCCAGAAAATTGTTTTGACAAAATACCGAACGGAAATGACGACGACAGAAAATGATGCTGATCAGGAGGAGGAGGAGGAGGGACGACGCATCATTCATGATTGATTCATGCTTGATGCGTGGCCGCCACTCATTGGTGACTGATGCGTGGTGACTGATGTCGGACGATGAATGATGATGACTGGTGGTGACTGGTTCTAACTCACGATAGTGCTTTCTGTAAGACGACGATGAGATGTGGTCATGAGAAGTAATGACCACGAGGATGATCATGGAAGCTGGTGATGAAAATGATGACGATGATGCTGACGATGATGATGATGAAGATGATGATGGTGGTGATGATGGTGATGATGATGTGATGATGATGATGATGATGGTGATGATGATGGTGATGATGATGATGATGATGATGATCATGACGAGCCTGATAGTGCTGATGCCGCCTCTTCTAGCCACGGATAGTGTTGTTACGAGTACTTGCTGTTCCCGTAATGTTCGACCGAAGTTGTGCACAAAAAAGAGTGTTTCATGATTCTTGCATACATCATCTCAAGGCTAGCGATTCTTGTGTGTTGCCCCGTGTGAATGCTCGGCTTCGACCCGCCTCTACGGCCCGCCTACGGCGCTTTTGCACCCTTCGGCGGAATTCGGGCAAGAGGCCCTCCTGTGAAAACGCACACCACCAACAATGTCAAACGAAAACTTTCCGGTGGTGCAGGCAGGTTAGCACAAGATCTGATAGAATGATGTGTGCCCATGCCTCTAGGTGCAACGGTGCAAAATACAGTAGAAGTGCGCACGATGAGAGTTCTAACAGTAGTAAAGGAGGGGCGGAGTAGAAGCACCCTAGAGTTTGGGGCTTGGTAATAGGGTTCCCGACATCATGCACGTGCGTGGTCTTTGGGCTCATCGATTTCGGTGCAGTACCCAGGTCCGACATGGGCTTAGTGAGTTCCCGCACAGGAAAGTGAAACATGTCCGTAAAGCTTCTCTTGCGCGGACAAACCAACAGGAAGCCAGTCTTAGGAATTGGATGCTTGTCGAAATTCGGGTTCCATGATGTTCCACGTACGGCCACGCTCAGCTGTAGCCTATTGCGATAACGTGATAAAGTACTAATTGTGGAAAGACTGGCAGCCTCGGCCTCCTGGCCAAAGATTCTTCCCAACAGCTCCGTGTCTCTATGTCTTTCTGTTTTTGCGCCAAAACTGGAACGCTTCAATACCACTACAACAACCGCTGCTGCCAGGCCAAGCTCTGGAAATCCTGAGAAAGCACCCTGACGCCTTTATCTGCCTCTGCTGTTCTCAAAACCCGCAAAAAAGCTCGAGAGTACCAACGGATCCTGGCAGAGGTTCTTCTGCAGCATCTCAAAAGTGCCCCGCGGCTCGTAAGCGTCGCTGTCGGCCATTTCATGTGCACGATACCACGCCGTGGCCGACCCGATATGGGCTCGCCGCTCACCCGCAGATCGGATCAGCGGTTTCTCAGTCCTCCTCGGCCTGCAGCGGGACCGGGCGATAGCCGTCGGCCTCAACAAGAAAGGGTCACCTACGTGCTTCTAGGTTCAAGGAATTGAGATCAGGATCGGGTGTCGGATTTCAGGTTGCAGCTTCACTTCTACAGTTGTACGACTTGGGACGCAAAACCTCGGGACGACTCCAAGCCATGTACTTACTGGTCTGGGATGGCTTTTGGGGAGGCAGCTCGAAATTGTTACGAAAACTTACCTGGACCAGAATCATCATTACCATCATTATCACCTTCGGGATCTTCTCCGTCATCTTCATCGTCGTCGGTGTGATCTTGTGCAGGCATGCGTGTTTAAGGCTTGCGATTTGCAAGCCTCCAGGAGGATTGCCTTGTCGCGGGCTCCCGGCGCGGAGCAGGCCTCGGTGGTCGAGGTTTCAGGGAGACTGGTTTACAAGGGACTAGTACTATACATATGCACCACGAAAACTGAAACAAGTAGACGAGCATGCCATTCATTTATAAGAACACTAGCAACAATAATAACACCAATCGAAAAGAAAAAGTGGATTGTCTTATTGAGCCCTGCGCCCCAAGCACAGCCTAGAGCAGACTGCAGCGTGGAACATAGTTGATGATGATGCAGACTTGCATGCCACCCTTTCGTTTCCACATGGGTTCAATGACAGGATCTCGGGGACACAACGTCCTCAAAAGCATATGTTCAATACTGTGCGGCTGAAGACAATGAAGCCTTGTCTTTGGGGGGTTGGGGAAATCGGGTGATGATACGCCTGTGTCTTGACAGTGTCCCACCCTTCAGCAGGTTCCTGACAGCTCCTACTCTGTAGAGATGCACCGTAACGAGCACCCGACTTTGCAAACCATGTGCAAGGCCGACAGGAGCACCACACCTGCGAGCCCCTTTCGCTACAGTCAATACGGGACAGCATGTCAGCTTCGGGCTCCTTGGCTCAAGTCGGTGTCGTAGGCTGGGAGGTATGAACTTCAGACTGGCGATCGAATGGCTTGATGGCTGAGGCCTTGGGCTCAAGACCGTCTTTCTTGCCTTAGGAAGCTTCGAAAGCTGATCAGCCGACCCTTGGACACCAAGGCCGATGGGCACAACTTCCAGTGCCGTCCCGTCCAAACAGCAAGCGCTTTCGTTCTCAGTGTTTTAAGGCTCTGAAGCGTAGAACCGCCTTAGGCCACCTGAAGCCTGTTGAGATGCTGCGGCCGCTTATTCTTGGGGCGCTTGGGTGCCTAGGAACGCGTTGTTCGTGAACGTGCAGAGAAGAAAGAGTGCTGTGCTGTTGTGATTCAACTCGTGTTCCTGAACGAAGATAAGCCGAAGCCAAGGTTTGGGAGGTTTTGGCGGAGACAAGTCCTTAACCCTAAACCCTCAACTCCGGCAAAAGGCGCAGCCCTCTCTGCCTGCCAGCATTCCGATGGAACTGGGGCCCAAAGCCCTGGCACGGGAGACCAAATCTACAGCCTTGCGGTTTGGGCTTACCGTAGGGTTTGGGGCTCGAGTTCCGGTTGCGGGTCTTGGGAAGTGGTTAGGCGGCTAGGCTGTAGGGCATGTAGATTGAAAGGTCGGGCTTCTTGGAGGAAAAAAAGCTCCTTCGGGTTGGAGGTGCAAAGCAAAGAACCCCAGACGGCCGGCCCCACGACGCCTTCACTGGCAAACCACACAACCCTACGTGTAACAGAACCTCTGACAAACGCCACGAGCCGCCTGGATCCTCCTGATCCCGACGCCCAAACCCCAAACCGAAGAAGCGAACGAAGGCGCAAACTCTGAAAGGCTCCCGTACCCGCGCCGGGGCCTCTCCAGGGAGCGCATTGCCTGCTTGGGGTTAGTGGCCAGGGTGTGGGCGCTGTTACTTCGAATTCCAAAGATTCCCCTGGCGTAGTCGGGTAGGAATTATCAGACAAGCAGTGCAAGTGCACATCTAAAAGGACGTTGGCCACCCAGCAATCGAAGGAACCGATACCGCCTCCAGTTCAGGAAGCACGAGGTTGGACTCCCCAATTGCGAAAATCTGCTCTCACTCAGAAAGTCTACGCGTCTTCGTTCATGCTGCCTGGGTTTGAGTACTTCGCTAGAAGAGCATGAGGCTAACAAGTCCGAGCCTGCCGCCCTCGGGAGAGAACCACCCCCTTCAGCCTCCCGTGCTTGTTAGGGTTTGGGGTTTAGGTAAAAAGGTTTCGGATTGGGTTTCAATGTAGTGAAAGCTGGCTTTACGATATTACAAGACGCGGGCCCATGGACCTTCTACAAGAAATATGCAGGCTACAGGAGGTATGATGCAGTCAGTGATGCTACCGAAGCCTCAGTTGCCTTTTGTTGGAATGCCGATCCTCGGGTTGTGCTGTGCGGGGGGCCAGGATTCAAAGGGCCATCATGGCAGTTCCG